ATTGGAAAACTGACGGAGCGTTCATCAACCCGTATGGCATGACCAGATACTCGTAGTGGCCCGAGGTGGTACTAAAGGCTGTTTTCCATTCATCACCCTCCCTGATGCGCACCAAGTTGTACGCGCTCCTGAGATCTAATTTCGTGAAGAAACGCGCCCCATGCAACGACTCAGTCATGTCGCAATCAGCGGGAGTGGATAACTATACTTCACCGTAATCTGATTGAGACCACGTGTAATCGATGCACGGGCGCAAACCACCATCCTTTTTCTTCACGAAAAAGAAAACTCGAGGACGCGGGGGAAGTGGAAGGCCGTATGTATCCTTGTCTCAGCGATTCGTCTATGTAAATCTCCATAGCTTTCTTCTCCTCCTGAGACAGAGGATACACATGGCTCACGGGGTGGATGGGGCTGACCACTTTTTGCTTCCCCCCCTCCCCTTCTTCTCTTCCCTTCCTTTTCCCTTTTTTTTTCCTTCTTTTATTTCCTTCTTTCTCTCTTTTCTTTCCTTTTCTCGCTTTCCCCCCCTTCCCTCTTTTCTTTCCCTCTTTACCCCTTTTTTTTCTTTTTTTCCCCCTTTCCCCTCCCTCCTTTTTTTTTTCCTTCACCCCCCCCTTATTTTTCCCTTTCCCCTTTTGCGTCTTCCCCGCATTTTTCTGTTTTTTGGCTTAACATCATCTGTGTCATTTATACTACTAATTGTTCTATGTATCATTGTACTTTAGCAGTTTGTGGTCTAATCGATAGGTATTTTTCTCTACTATCTATAGAATTTTCTTAACTCCACCACTCTCGAGCACGAGATAAAGGGTGTGGTAGGCCGCAGCGCGAACGGCCGTGGACGCAGAGGGTAGCACCCATAAACCCTGACACCATCTGGTCCTTCTCGGTCCCCCCGGCAAACCCCCACCCCACCGCCGCCCTCGCGCCTCACTAACCGCCACACCCATCAGCCCACAACATTCCCATCGCATCCCGGGGACCCAAAGTGCAATGCCGGGGACATGGATTGGACTTTCACCACACCGCCGGTCCCAGCCCACATACGGAAACGCCCCCACAACATTCTCCCCCCCCATGAGCAGCCACCAACTCCCACGGAGGCCTTCTCACCCCCACACCGCAACCTCGTGGCAGCCCATTACGCGGTACTAACAGGGCATGCCACCCAGCAACACTATGTTGCCCCTCCCCCCCCCCATCAAACCCCCCCACCCACGGACCACGACCACCCAGACCACACACAAGGAAACCCAGATGATCCCACCACTCCACCCCACTTCCTGATGATCCCTGCGCACACATCCACCAGTGGCCCCACGCAGTGACCTCCCTGATTACAGCCCCCCGTACCCCAAGCGGAAGACTACCCCCTCCCTAGGGACCCCGTGACCGGGGAAAAGGAACATCAACAGGAATGAGGGGAATCCCTAACGCTAAACAAAACTTTTTATCAATAAAATTCCCAGCCGCGCCTGAATCTACCAGCGCCTTATGCTGGGAATGAGGTGCTACCTGTGGAAAACGTACAGGCATACAAAAATGGGCAACAGTGAGCTCTGGGTGAGTGGGGCGCCTACTCACCTGGAGGGAATCCCCAGTGCGGGACCTGTCGTCATCTCCCCTAGGAGGCCATCCCCAGCACCTAGCCGCGGTGTGTCCTCCCCGACCACAGTTGGTGCAGTGGATGGACCCCCTAGCCTGCCGACTCCTCCTCTCTCTAGCGCCAGCGCCCCTGAGCTCCATAGGACACGGCTCGGAGGCGCTGGAGGGTGAAATGGACGGACCCTCCGCAGGACGTCCGCGGGTAGCCAGTAGGTTATCCAGCCTGATGGACATGTCAACCAGCTGGTCGAAAGAGAGGCTGGTGTCCCTACAAGCCAGCTCCCGACGGACGTCCTCTCGTAGGCTACATCTGTATAGATCGATGAGGGCCCGATCATTCCACCCTGCATCTGCCGCTAGAGTACGGAATTCGAGCGCGAATTCCTGGGCACTTCTCCTCCCCTGCCGGAGGAAGACCAGACGCTCCCCCGCCGCTTTCCCCTCCGGGGGATGGTCAAACACCGCCCTGAAGCGGCGGGAGAACTCGTTGTAAGTAATCGTCGTGGCGTCGATCTTCCTCCACTCTGCGTTGGCCCACTCCAACGCTTTTCCGGCCAGGCAGGAGATCAGGGCGGACACGCTCTCATGCTCTGAAGGTGCCGGGTGCACTGTGGCCAGGTATAGCTCCACCTGGAGTAGGAATCCCTGACACCCAGCCGCGGTTCCGTCGTAGGCCCTCGGGAGAGATAGTCGGACTCCTCGAGGTTCCGGCGCTGGAATGGGCGGGCTGGCCGATGGTGCTGGCAGGGCGGGAGGCGGTGGAGGCGTACCCCAGCCTCGGAGGGTGGAAATCACCTCCTGCAGGGCGGTCCCCATCTGCAGGAGCTGCTCTTGTTGGTCCCGAACCTGGGCCTCCAGTCTCGTCTGGGCTGCTTCGGCTCCTGCTGATTCCATTGTGTGGTGTGTAATTCTGTCAGGGCGTGTTGTAGGTGTAATGTAGGAATCAAACGCAGGACTCAGACTGAATGTTCCAAAGGCTGTATTACTGGCCAAACTAAGGCAACAGGACAACTAAGCCCGAAAGCGAAAAAACACGCACGAAGGCGAAAGGTAAATTGCGCACAAACAGGTGCGACAAAATGTAACTGTGCACACACAGGTGCGAAAATGCTCCAGCACAGTGGAGAATAAGCTCAACCGAGCAAAACACAATACTGACGGAAATAATTACACACAACACTAGACAAACACAACGAGAAACTTATAGGACACTAATCACGCCAAAACAGAAACAGGTGTGGAAACAAACAGACAAAAGCAAACGAACATGAAACATATAGCGGTGGCAGCTAGAATTCCGGAGACGACGAACGCCGAAACCTGCCCGAACAAGGGAGAGAGGCAGCCTCGGCCGAAACCGTGACAACTAGCCGTAATCATGGTAGCATCCACATTAATGTAGAAGTGTTTAGAAAAATATTATATTCTTATTTACAATAAAAATGACTCCAAAATTACACTACATTATTTACCATTCATTTCTATTGGGCACAAAATAATCTGAAATGCAACCAAAACCAACAGCAGATGTATCCAACAAGTTTATAGAGTCACAAGCTTGATGTAATCATTACGTGCTAGGAATATGGGACCAAATACTAAACATTTGACTACTTTAATACACATATAAGTGAATTTGTCCCAATACTTTTGGTCCCCTAAAACTATGTACAAAAAGTGCTGTAATTTATAAACGGTTCACCTGATATGGATGAAAATACCCTCAAATTAAAGCTGACAGTCTGCACTAACCTCACAGTCATTGTATCATTTCAAATCCAAAGTGCTGGAGTACAGATCCAAAACAACTACAAATGTGTCACTGTCCCAATACTTTTGAAGCTCACTGTAGGCTAAGTCATAAAATATAGGCTATATTGAAATGCCCCTTGCCTCAAATATCCTGTTTTGTCATTTTAGTATTGTGCACAAGCTACTAGGCAGAAACGGTAGGCATAATTGTAAGATGATGACAAGGTTTTGCAAATCAGCCTCAACCACCTGAAGATTGATAATCATTAGATTTTTCTTTAATGTGGGATAATTTGTAGAATGTCAAATGTCACAAGAACATATTCAAACCCCCAGTATTTGGGAAACATAGATCAAGGGTGGCCAACACCCTTGGAGAGCTACAGTACCTCTAAGCAGGATTTTATTCACATGTTGGTTTCTTATGGACAAGGAGAGACTGCAATCCAGCCTATGGTTAGCCACTGCCACCGACCATTAATATTAGCATTTTCTAACCAAAAACCAATGTAATTCAATGTCCCCCAGTTAACATAAGCATACTCTAAATTCCATGCCCAAATAATCTCAAAGTAACTTCAAACTAAGTCGTCGAGTTTTGAGTGTGTATTCAACTTTAAAGAATCCTGAATACACCTGACCTGAGCTTTAAAAAATTGTTTTTTTAATGGGGGGAGGGACCACCAGACCCCCGGCTAGGGGTGGAGCCAATGACATTAATGATAGGCAATCTCACTCCAAGCTATCTTCAAAAGTTGGCAGCCCTGCACACTGTATCTGCGAGCTGTTGGCTAGAGCACACCCGCCAAGACCAGAGTAGGCATATTTGCTACTTAACGCAACAGTTTTTGTGACAAAACTATCGGTAGAGTTGAAAATGCTATGTAAACACATTGAACTTTAGATTTTTATCCGGTACATGTAAACTTACGTGAAAAAGTACATTTTGTGTGCTCTATGTCATCATGCATTGATTTTTATCCGCAACAAGTCCATTTGGTGGAAACATACCACTGGTGGGAAAATGTGCATATTTTCTTTATGCAGATTCTAGAATATTCACATGCAAATCTTTCGCCAACTGGATGGAAACCTAGCTTGTGACCAGCTTTGTCTTATTTCATAATTGTGTAAAGTTAGATGCCATATGCTGACATCAGCTTTCATTTACATTTTAGTCATTTAGCAGACAGAATAAAAAATATTCCAAAACATGCATCCTGTTTGCAACAAGGCACTGAATTAATCCTGAAAAAGTGTGGCAAAGCAATTCACTTGTTGTCTTGTTAGGGGCAATTCCAATACAAAAAATTACTGAGTACCCACCTCATATTTTCAAGCATAGTGGTGGCTGCATAATGTTATGGGTTTGACTGTATGAAATCTGTTATGTAATTACATTATGACAGCATTATGTTATTATGAAGGCCAATGTTACCAGAGGGTTCAAGTGAAGTGTCATACATACTTTTGTCAGTACAAAAGGATGCCCTACAGTGGCTGTATGTATCAGAAAATGCAAAGAAAATACACCAAAAGGACACAAACTTGGAGGATGATAGTGAGATGCGAAGTACAGTATATAACAGCTTACTCTGTGGATTTAGCCAAAAGTGTTTTGAGCTATGCAACTGTACCTTGAAAGCCTCCCTTCGACGGTACTCTAGTTTGGCCATCTCGTCTGCGACCCATCCAGGAATATCAGGGATGGCCACATGGATGATGTATTTGAGGAGGATGGCAAAATGCTGTAAATCCCAACACAATAAAGGACAGGCTAAACAAACAGTGACATGAAAACACAGAAAAGTATAGATTGCTGGTATCAAATCCTAGATGCCATTGCCTGCCGTTGTGCCCTTGAGCATGGCACTTAACCCCCCACAACAACTGCTCTGCAGACGCCCAATGTGGCAGCTCCCTGCTCCAACCTCTCCAACCTGTATATGTATGTGTGTCTTATGGAGGGGTTGGGATAAAGCGGACATCAAATTTCAGTTAGACCTTGTGTACAATTGATGAATAAAGTGATCTTAATCTATACCAGAGTGGAAAGAGTATGTGTGATGTTGCCATGCTGTGTGTGGTATGTAGAGGGAACTGCTTGCTCTTTTCAAGCCCGACTAGATCAGCCAGTAAAGCATGAGTCTCTTACTCTCAGGGTTGTGGGTTTGAGCCCCACATTGGGCACAAGCATTTTAGCAATAGTTTTTGTTCTTAATTACCTGTCCTTTCCTTTTTAATTTTGAAGACAGCACAATGTGGATCTAACTTCTTGTACAATGCTGCAATTGATATTCAAAACAAGATGTCATCTTTGAGTGAAGGCTATTCACTTGTGCTTGGACACCTCCTCCTCCTTTTGTTGCTATGCTCCATTGTTTTATATTCTGTAATCTTTGTGATTTATGTACAGTGTCCTTGGTTTTGATAAAGGGGGTATATAAATAGTACCACAATTGCTACGATTGTTGTCTGTATTTGTGACATCGATCTACTAGGTGTCACAGAGTGAAGACAAAATGGTTGGCTGCCACTGCACTGTCCTTTACCTCAAGTACCACGATGGAGATGATGACCATCTCCGGGCTCAACCAGGGGAAGAGACGCTGCAGCTGACCACACTGGCCAATGAGATAACAGTTCACTATAATGGCTATCAAGCCCATGGCCTCCATTGCTGTCTGCACACACAGAGGGGGAAATATCTCAGAGGAAAAATAACTTCATGAAATAAATAACTGTTGGCATGCTTTTTGCAGAGATGCTTGAAATGGATGATTCTAAAATGGTTATCTGAGCTTAATTGCAGGTGGGATAAATATACACTGAGTGTACAAAACATTATGAACACCTGCTCTTTCCAAGACATCGACTGACCAGGTGAATCCGGATGAAAGCTATGATCCCTTATTGATGTAATTTGTTAAATCCACTTCAATCAGTGTAGATGAAGGGGAGGAGACGACAGGTTAAAGAAGGATTTCTAAGCCTTGAGACAATTGAGACATGGATTGTGTATGTGTGCTATTCAGAGGGTGAATGGGCAAGACAAAAGGAAGAAAAGTGCCTTTGAACGGGGTACGGTGGTTGGTACCAGGCGCACCGGTTTGTGTCAACAACTGCAACGCTGCTGGGTTTTTCACGCTCAACAGTCCACCAGCCAACTTGACTGTGGGAAGCATCAGAGTCAACATGGGCCAGCATCCCTGTGGAATGCTTTCGACACCTTGTAGAGGTTGGAGAGTAGGAGTGCTGACCTAGGATGATTTTTGCCTTTTAGATCATAATGAATAGGATTATATGAACAAGGGGGACCTGATTCTAGATCAACACTCCTACTCTGAGACATCTTTTGAATAAGGGCCCAGATGTGAGCGACTAATGACCTGCCACTGTCCAATGCTCTCCACCCTCTGGCCAAAGGGCCTCTGCAGGCCTGTGCAGAGCTTCAAGGCGTCACTCCGGATTTCAATGATATTGTTGATGAGGGCCCACATGGCAGCCAGTGGGAAGGCGGAGGAGAAGAGCACCACGTAGCCAAACTGGATGAACATCTCCTGGTAGTCCTGCAGGGTGTCCTGTTGGGTCAGAGGTAAAGGTTAGAGGTCAAAGTCACATAACAGCTGGGGTTGTCATAGAATAGCATTTGTGTTTCAAATCACTTTTTACTTCAAATTGGAATGTACTGCTGCATGTACCAGCTACTAACCCTAGCCAGAAATACTGTCCAAGTCCATTAAATGTAACTAAACACGCGTGGAATATAAACCGACAGCAGGTCAAGTTCATAACAACAGATCTGATGACTAAGACACACCTCATATGTCTGCATGCAGCTCTCAATCTCTGCTTGGGTGAGAATTACAGACTTGGGCTCATCAGGCGGGTCAATCCAGGACTTTGCCTCTTTCTTTGGGATTGGACTCTTCCATCTCTGACATACTACCGTGTCATAGCCATTTGGTGGGGAGACACTAGTCTCCTTGGTCTCAGAGGACTCATAGTCACTGTCATCGTCACTTATCTCAAAGACGCTGGAAGGATCCATGCCCTCCTCCACCAATGTGGGACTGTCCTCCAGGAAGCTGTCCTCGGGCTGGGTCGCCATGGCAATGTCCCTGGCAACATCCACCTTCTCATTGAAGCTAATCTTCCGTTGCCTCAGTGTGTCATTTATGTCCCACTCTTCCTCTGTGAACCTATAGCCAGCTTTGAGATCTCCTCTCTTGTTCTGTTCTGTCTGTCCAGGAAGTGTGGCAGGGCCTTTGGGGCTTAGCAGGGACTGGATAGTCCATGAAACCTGGGCTTTTCCTACAGCCAGGCGGCTGTACTTGAGTACTATGGCCTGGAGAATCTCCCACACAACCTTGGGGGTAAATACTCCTAGTTTGTGGTGCTCGTACAGATAAGGCTGGAGCACCTCCTTGATGTTCTGGAAGAACTGGCGGAAGATCAGGAGAGTGGCTAGCATCTGTGAGGAGACAGTGTGAGTGATTCTGTTGCTGTTCTTTAGGGAAGATAATTTTGTTCAATCATGTATTCCATTATCCAAATCTAATTGACAGATTTTACCTCCTTCAGTCGCTCCATGTCCTTGAGGTAGAATCCGATGTAGAAAAGGCTAAGGTAAGAATTTATAAACTCAAACTGCAAAATGAAGAGAATGATTTTAAATCAGACATGGCATTTCTAAACATAATTTATATACAAAAGTGTTAGTCAATAATACACCCCCTTGGATAACAGTGATCAGTATGGTCGAAATAAAAAAAGAAGAAATATCTAACTTACAAAAACCATTTTAATGATGAGATTATTCTCATAGGCACTCTGAAGTCTGTAGTTCTCTGTAAGAAAATAATACCAATCATCAAAAGACATCGCTCCATTTGATACTGATTACTGAACAAACCTGTGTGATCACTTTATACAACACTACGTACCTGGTTTGAGGAGTTAGCGAGGTAACTTTGGTCAACTTGGGATAACCGGTACTACGAAAGTGGCTCACATTTTAGCCAGGTAAATTTATATGGCAATGAATCCTTCAGAACTAACCTGCTCCAGGGCAGGCTAACTCAGGGCTAACTCTATTAATCCTGAATGAAATGTCTGAGCCGCAAGTTGAGGACCAATTAAATCAGATTCCCTCCCTTTGACAAAGACTGCGTCATCATAGTCTTCATTTGAGGAAAACGACTGATTTTAAATATTGTTTTTGTAGGCTAAGAGTAGGCCAACTATTAAAATAGATAAATGTGTCTGTCAACTGAGTCAGAAATTCACCTGTTTCAATATTTGTAAAAATAAATCAGGTTTTTGCTCTCAAAGTCATACTTTATTAATAGAAAAACAACAAAATTGGATGTTCTAAGTCCACAACAATGCTTAAACCACATCAGGTGACCACTTTTGAGGTCTGGGAAAAATCTAAGACATTTAGATATTTTAGTGTAGTTACCCTTTTATTCAAGTGTGCTGGCACCTAGCACTGTTGTTTGGTTAGCGGTGTTTCTGTAGCGCATATGAGATGGAGTTTGCAAAACAAATGGCCACTGGATTGATGCAAATAATCATGATATCATTCTGCCAAGTAGGCACAGGCTCCTTTGTATCTATTTAACATTTAATTGAAAAAGGTTTTTGGGAAAGCCTTTCCATCTACCAGAAGACAGTTAGGCCTATCATTAGCTCCAATATATTTTTCCTGTTCCTTAATTGTTTGAAACCTGGACGTTTTACTTCATATTATGAAGCATATCTTATCTTGTTTCAAAGTAGCCAAGCCAAAAATCGACCATAGAAATGTTGAGGGAAATATTTTATAAACACTTCCTCATATGCGCTCTCCTATTCTATTGATTTTCAAATCAACTTTCTTTCATTGTCTAGCAGCCAAATGTATTCTCCTAGTCATACAGTATTAGCAACCCATGATAATTGTTGCATCTTTAGACCTCCCACCTTTCTAAAATTCGAACAGATATTTCCATCTCTGTCCATGAAACTGCTTGCATGCGCTGAGCATTTTAGTACGGTGTTTTCCTGCAAATTGTATTTTGGAACATTTGTGCGTAGGCCTACAGTACCACCATGTGGACATTGCTGCACTAAAAATGTGAAGAAATAACCTTTCATCAACATTTTAAGCGAAACATTCAGATCCTTTCCATCAGCCCTATTAATTGACACAGCATATACCTCCACTACACGACTTTGATATAACACATCAGTTGGGATTAAGAAATTAGTATACGCAATGCCGACTGAAAACAAAGTGGGTATACGCCGTATACCTGCGTACAGCTTCCACTACACCACTGTCCACCGTCGTAATACGGATGAAAAGCTAACTGAAGCTGGCTAGCTTTTGAAAACCCTGAGTAGATCTAGCTTGCATCGTAGTATACCCCTCTGAAGAGATCAGAGCCAGTATTCATAAAGTGTCTCAGACTAAGAGTGCTGATCTAGGATCATATCATAATGTGGTCCTCTGTAGCTCAGCTGGTAGAGCACGGCGCTTGTAACGCCAAGGTAGTGGGTTTGATCCCCGGGGTCACCCATACACAAAAATAAAAAATGTATGCACGCATGACTGTAAGTCGCTTTGGATAAAAGCGTCTGCTAAATGGCATATTATTATCATATTATAATGAATAAGATTAAATGTACAGGGCGGGACCTGATCCTAGATCAATACTCTTATTCTGAGATGGGTGCTCACTGCTCCAATCATTCCTCACCTGGTGCTGATATTAATGAATCTCAGCTGCACAGCTTACCCATATAATTGAGCCAATGGGCGATCTTCCTATACACCTCATCACATACAGTCACAACGATGGCCAGTAACATTTTAGGAATGAATCTTGTGATACTGGGTAACTCCTTAATTTCCATCACAAACTCCTATAAAAAAAAAGGAGATAAACCACAACATAGGTATATTTAATTACAGAAAGACAGGTTAGAGTGGCTTGCGAAATCATTCACCCCCCTTGGCATTTTTCCTATTTTGTTGACTTACAACCTGGAATTAAAATTGATTTTTTGGGGGGGTTTGTATCATTTGATTTACACAACATTCCTACCACTTTGAAGATGCAAAATATGTTTTATTGTGAAACAAACAAGAAATAAGACAAAAAAAACAGAACTTGAGCATGCATAACTATTCACCCCCCCAAAGTCAATACTTTGTAGAGCCACCTTTTGCAGCAATTACTGCTGCAAGTCTCTTGGGATATGTCTCTATAAGCTTGGAACATAAAGCCACTGGGATTTTTGCCCATTCTTCAAGGCAAGACTGCTCCAGCTCCTTCAAGTTGGATGAGTTCCGCTTGTGTACAGCAATCTTTAAGTCATACCACAGATTCTCAATTGGATTGAGGTCTGGGCTTTGACTAGGCCATTCCAAGACATTTAAATGTTTCCCCTTAAACCACTCGAGTGTTGCTTTAGCAGTATGCTTAGGGTCATTGTCCTGCTGGAAGGTGAACCTCCGTCCCAGTCTCAAATCTCTGGAAGACTGAAACAGGTTTCCCTCAAGGATTTCCTTGTATTTAGTGCCATCCATCATTCCTTCAATTCTGACCAGTTTCCCAGTCCCTGCTGATTAAAAACATCCCCACAGCATGATGCTGCCACCACCATGCTTCACTGTGGGGATGGTGTTCTCGGGGTGATGAGAGGTGTTGGGTTTGTGCTAGACATAGTGTTTTCCTTGATGGCCAAAAAGCTCAATTTTAGTCTCATCTGACCAGAGTACCTTCTTCCATATGTTTGGGGAGTCTCCCACATGCCTTTTGGTGAACACCAAACGTGTTTGCTTAATTTTCTCTTTAAGTAATGGCTTTTTTCTGGCCACTCTTCTGTAAAGCCCAGCTCTGTGGAGTGTACAGCTTAAAATGGTCCTATGGACAGATACTCCAATCTCCGCTGTGGAGCTTTACAGCTCCTTCAGGGTTATCTTTGGTCTCTTTGTTGCCTCTCTAATTAATGCCCTCCTTATCTGGTCCGTGAGTTTTGGTGGGCGGCCCTCTCTTGGCAGGTTTGTTGTGGTGCCATATTCTTTCCATTTTTAATAATGGATTTAATGGTGCTCTGTGGGATGTTCAAAGTTTCTGATTTTTTTTTATAAGCCAACCCTGATCTGTACTTCTCCACAACTTTGTCCCTGACCTGTTTGGAGAGCTCCTTGGTAAATTTTTTCATTCCACTTCACCAATTTTGACTATTTTGTGTATGTCCATTACATGAAATCCAAATAAAAATCAATAAAAATTACAGGTTGTAATGTAACAAAATAGGAAAAACGCCAAGGGGGATGAATACTTTTGCAAGGCACTGTAGCCATTCTCTTTTATCTTAAAAGTGCCTACCCCTCAAAAGTTAATTGGTTTGCATGTGATTTAAATGGGAGAGTGTATACACTAATCGTACCTGACATTAACACTACTAAGTGCTTTGACGAAAGGAGCTTTCCCCTAAATATTATTAATGGGAATTAAGCTGCCGTCCTGAACCTTCTTTCAATACCGGACCATGTTTGATTATCATGACTTTGGGAATATGTCTGATGAGTCTATTGGCTATTTCCTGTTGATTTAGCTGTCTCTTACCTGCATCTCCAGACAGACTAGCATGGCCAAGAAGACGAAGCAGAGACAGAGGAGACAGATGGGGAGGCTGACCATCCACCTGAACATTGTCCTCTTCCAGGGTGGGTAGTATAACTCCTCACAGCCTGTTATTGGACTGCACCGCTTCACACCCTGCACACAGAGATACAGGCTTAATCCAACTAAAATGCTTGCGCCCAACATGGGGCTCGAACCCTCGACCCTGAGATTAAAAGTCTCATGCTCTACCAACTGAGCTAGCAAGGCCTGATAGGGGTGGAGACAGCTCCCCCTTTAGAAACCACAATACAGTAGTTGAGAAGCTCAGGAACACCAGCTAACACATTTACGCACAACGTGGGGCTCAAACCCACGACTAAAAGTCCCATGCTCGACCACCTGGGCTTGCCAGGCCTGATAGCAACAGTGACAACTGCCTGTTTAGAAACCACAGGAGGCATGTGTCCCCCAAAGACAAGATGGTAGTTGAGAAGATCAAGAACACCAGCTAAAAGATTTACGCCCAACATAGGGCTCGAACCCATGACCCTGAGATTAAGAGTCTCATGCTCTACCAACTGAGCTAGCCGGGCCTGATAGTAACCATGACAACTGCCCGTTTAGAAATCTCAGGAGGCATGAACCCTGCCTCCAACTCTTGGAATTCACACAACACTCTCCAAGCCTAGAGCTCATATTACTTATCACTGTAGACCCGTAAACTAAAGCAGCTACTTGAGGCTGCTGATGGAATTTGTACTCTGGCTATAGTCCTGAAGGAACCAAACAGCACTGGTAGTAATCTAAGGCTGGGATTCAATCTAACGTGTGTTGTAGAGTGCTATCGACAATACGTCTTTTAAAGGCAATGTTCCCACGGCAGATGTCGGCTCAATCGGAATGTACCTTTAAATGTCAAGGGCTCTACAATGCGCCTCAGATTGAATCTTGGACTAATCTCCAGAACTAAAGTATTGCGTAATTGGTCAGCTGCTCGATTAAGTTCTGGGTCCAAACGTTTTAAGAGAAGAGATGAAGAGATGCTAGAACAAGGAGCTGAACCAGAACGAGGAGCTCCACCCTCTCTCTTTGCACGTTACAGGCCGAATGTTCCATCCCCTTCCAAAATTCAAATGGCTAACGCCATTGAAATCGTGATTTGTCCAAATAACCAGTGACGAAAAACCCAAACACTGGAACTACTGCTGCTCATTACCCCACGCATCCCATCCCTTCCCGACAGATTCTACGGTACCAGTTATGTTTACGTAGATCTGTCCACGAGAGATTAATCTCAACTCTGAAGATTAATAGAATGCAATAATAGGTCACTCACCCGGAACTGGCGACGGGGCTCCTCAAGGGACTCGGCAGGGGTGTCCAGTGTTCCCCACATGTATGCCAGCTCGGCCTCTCTCCGCTTCCATCTCTCCAGGAAGACCGTCGCCCACACCACGTTGAAAAGGGCAAACACTACACAGCAGATGTCCTGGCTGGTCTGTTGGGGAGTGGGTGAGCCATATGAGATACATACAAATCATAGGGACCTTCATACAGTAACTAAAAATAACAATGGACTGTATCATATTACAGTCAAGTAATTTAGCAGACGCTCTTATCCAGAGCGAATTAGAGGAGCAATTAGGGTTAAGTGCCTTGTCAAGGGTACATCGACAGATTTTTCACCTAGTCGGCTCGGGGAATTGAACTGCTAGGCTACCTGCCATATCACAGGGATAGTAAGAGCTGTGATGGGTGATACAGTTTTGAAGTATAGGCCAACACATCCATATTTTTTCACATGCTGTTTTATGCAGTGTTTGTGAAAAGAAACACCTACACATATTCCCACAATAGGTGAGTCATTTGTATTGTATAACTGTGAAATCCCATTGTGTATGGTAGCTACATTTAGCCTAATCCACGATCTGTTTGTGCTATCTTGCCAACTCCTATGTGATTGTCACTGGCAGATTAGGAAGTAGGCTGAACTACATTGTGTATCATACATTAGTTACTGTATGTTGACAGGTTTATTGACCAGTGTGTGGTCTCCATTGAGTCATGTGATGCTGGATCACCTACCTGGTCAGCCTCTGCCAGGATCCACAGCAGGAAGCCAATGACTGCCGGGTACAGCATGGAGTTGGTGTAGAAGCCCAGCCAGGCAAAGTACATGCCGATTTTCACCCCAAAGTAATCACAGATGTCATCTAACACACGTGGACCAACAACATGGACATTGCAGACAAAAGACAGACAAAATGGGTTATTGGCTTCAGCTAGTGAATGATCATTTTAAGAAATGTGTATCTTTCCATTGATATTGCATTTGTAGCGCAAATAATTGTAACAATAAGTCATGCTGTATTGTCACAACAGGTGCTGCTCACCCAAAGGCTGTCTCTCACAGACAGCTTGGACCCATGACGTCATCAGCTGACTGAGGATCCGTTGCTCGTGTAGAGGAAACACTTGACAGATTACTCCTCTGGCAACCAGCTCTGGAACTATGATAGAAAATGAATGCCATCTAGCAGAAGCTTTTATCCATAGCAGCTTACAGTCATATGCGTACATATTATTATTACTTTTTTTTAACGTATGGGTGGTCCCGGGAATCGAACTCACTATCCTGACATTACAAACTCTTACCAACTGAGCTATAGAGGAAGATGTTATTTATGGCCATACTCTCCAAACATATTTAAACGTCTGAGATCAGTCAACATAGTTATCAGTCAATAATGAAGCCGTCTTACTTTAGATGTTGTTGACATGCTGTAGAGACAGGGATTGATGAAATACAAAAATAACAGTTTACTGATTGGTTGTCCCTCCAGGAAGTGGATGTTGTGAAGGACCGCCCCTTGTTTTGGCACGTAGGTTGTCCAGCCAGTACTTGATGATACTCTGACGCTCCTAAAGATAAGGTAAGACCGGAACAACCACATAGATTAAGGGAACAAGGTAAAAGTCTGCAACAGGACATGCACTATACACTACTGGTGAAAAGTTTTAGAACACCTACTCATTCAAGGGTTTTTCTTTATTTTTAATATTTTCTACATTGTAGAACAACTATAAAATAACACATATGGAATCATGTCATAACCAAAAAAGTGTAGTAACCAAAAAACAAATAAAAATATATTTTATATTTGAGATTCTTCAAATAGCCACCCTTTGCCTTGATTACAGCTTTGCACACTCTTGGAATTCTCTCAACTAGCTTCACCTGGAATGCTTTCCCCACATATGCTGAGCACTTGTTGGCTGCTTTTCCTTCACTCTCTGGTCCGACTCATCCCAAACCATCTCAATTAGGTTGAGGTCGGGGGATTGTGGAGGCCAGGTCATCTGATGCAGCACTACATCACTCTCCTTCTTGGTAAAATAGCCCTTACACAGCCTGGAGGTGTATTGGGTCATTGTCCTGTTAAGTGTGCCTTGAATTCTAAATAAATCACAGACAGTGTCACCAGCAAATCACCCCCACACCATAACACCTCCTCCTCCATGCTTTACGGTCTGTGGTCCTCTGTAGCTCAGCTGGTAGAGCACGGCGCTTGTAACGCCAAGGTAGTGGGTTCGATCCCCGGGACCAACCATACACAAAAAATGTATGCACACATTACTGTAAGTCGCTTTGGATAAAAGCGTCTGCTAAATGGCATATTATTTATTATTATTTACGGTGGGAAATACACATGCGGAGATCATCTGTTCACCCACACCGCGTCTCACAAAGACAAGGCGGTTGGAACCAAAAATCTCCAATTTGGACTCCAGACCAAAGGACAGATTTCCACCGGTCTAATGTCCATTGCTCGTGTTTCTTGGCCCAAGCAAGTCTCTTCTTCTTATTGATGTCCTTTAGTAGTGGTTTCTTTGCAGCAATTCGACCATGAAGGCATGATTCACACAGTCTCCTCTGAACAGTTGATGTTGAGATTTGTCTGTTACTTAAACTCTCTGAAGCATTTATTTGGGCTGCAATTTTTGAGGCTGGTAACTCTAATGAACTTATCCTCTGCAGCAGAGGTAACTCTGGGTCTTCCATTCCTGTGGCGGTCCTCATGAGAGCCAGTTTCATCATAACGCGTTATGGTTTTTACGACTGCATTTGAAGAAACGTTCAAAGTTCTTGAAATGTTCCGTATTGACTGGCCTTCATGTCTTAAAGTAATGATGGACTGTCGTTCTCTTTGCTTATTTGAGCTGTTCTTGCCATAATATGGACTTGGTCTTTTACCAAATAGGGCTATCTTCTGTATACCCCCCTTACTGATTGGCTCAAACGCATTAAGAAGGAAAAAAATTCCACAAATTAACTTTTAAGAAGGCACACCTGTTAATTGAAATGCATTCCAGGTGACTACCTCGTGAAGCTGGTTGAGAGAATGCCAAGAGTGTGGAAAGCTGTCATCAAGGCAAAGGGTGGCTATTTGAAGAATCTCAAATATAAAATATATTTTGATTTGTTCAACACTTTCTTTTTTACTACATGATTCCGTATGTGTTATTTCATAGTTTTGATGTCTTCACTATTATTCTACAATGTAGAAAATAGTTTTAAAAAAAAACTTGAATGAGTAGTTGTTTTAAAACTTTTAACCGGTAGTGTATATGCAAAAGTATGTGGACACCCCTTCAAATTTGTGGATTCGGCTATTTCAGCCACACCCGTTGCTGACAGATGTATAAAATCAAGCACACAGCCATGCAATCTCCATAGACAAACATTGGCAGTACAATGGCCTTACTGAAGAGCTCAGTGACTTTCAACGTGGCACCGTCATAGGATGCCACCTTTCCAACAATTCAAATTTATGCCCTGCTAGGTCAACTATAAGTGCTGTTATTGTGAAGTGGAAACGTCTAGGAGCAACAATGAAGTGGTAGGTAGGCCACACAAGCTCATAGAATTGGACGGCAGAGTGCTGAAGTGCCTAGGGCGTAAAAACCGTCTGTCCTCGTTTGCAATACTCACTACCAAGTTCAAAACTGCCTCTGGAAGCAATGTCAGCACAGTAACTGTTTGTCGGAAGCTTCATGAAATGGATTTCCATGGCCGAGCAGCCGCACACAAGCCTAAGATTATCATGCACAATGCCAAGCGTTCGCTGGAGTGGTGTAAAGCGTGCCGCCATTGGACTCTGGAGCAGTGGAAACGCGTTCTCTGGAGTGATGAATCACACTTCACCATCTGGCGGTCCGACGGACAAATCTGGGTCTTGCGGATGCCAGGAGTACGCTACCTGCCCGAATGCATAGTGCCAACTGTAAAGTTTGGTGGAGGAGGAATAATGGTCTGGCGCTGTTTTTCATGGTTCGGGCTAGGCCCCTTAGTTCCAGTGAATGGAAATCTTAACGCCACAGCATTCAATGACATTCTAGACGATTCTGTGCTTCCAACTTTGTGGCAAAAGTTTGGGGAAGGCCCTTTCCTGTTTCAGCATGACAATACCCCCGTGCACAAAGCGAGGTCCATATGGAAATGGTTTGTTGAGATCGGTGAGGAAGAACTTGACTGGCCTGCACAGAGCCCTGACCTCAACCCCCATTGAACACCTTTGGGATGAATTGGAATGCCGACTGCGAGCCAGGCCTAATCGCCCAACATCAGTGCCCGACCTCACTAATGCTCTTGTGGCTGAATGGAAGCAAGTCCGCGCAGCAATGTTCCAACATCTAGTGGAAAGCCTTCCCAGAAGAGTGGAGGCTGTTATAGCAGCAAAGGGGGGACCAACTCCATATTAATGCCCATGATTTTGGAATGAGATGTTCGACGAGCAGGTGTCCACATACCTTTGGTCATGTAGTGTATATCAGAGACGTTTCAATATGTTTGGAGATTATGGCCATAACTGATACAAACCCGTGAGGTGAAAAAGCACAACTCGCTCTCTATGTTCTCATAGATGTTATCTTCTTCACAGGAAAACCTGCGTGTTCCGCCGCCGTACTCTGGTTTCACCAGTTTGTGCATTCCCAACAGCTCTGCACCACGCAGCAAGCTGAGGAGAAATAGAGAATAAGGGGAATTAGGAGGTCAAAGGTCATTAGCGGGTCAAATATTGGCTTTAATTTACAGTCCTGTTTCAGTCTCTATTTACCTAGCCTGATCCCATATCTGACTGTCAACTCCTCCTATGGCCATTGTCACAGAACATAATTATCTGGAACAAGGCGTCCAGGCCACTATTTATGAATTTGATGTTTACGAATGATGTGGTAACAATGTGAGTACTTCAGCTGCCAAATGGTACATAATAATATAATATGTCATTTAGCAGACGCTTTTATCCAAAGCGACTTACAGTCATGCGTGCATACATTTTTGTGTATGGGTGGTCCCAGGGATCGAACCCACTACCTTGGCGTTACAAGCGCCGTGCTCTACCAGCTGAGCTACAGAGGACCACATAGTGGTGCTTGTTTCAAACAATCACAAAGAAACAAAATAGTACTTATTAGGTAATTATCAAGTTTTCAAGTTTCAAGTTTTAATGTCACGTGCACAAGTACAGTGAAATGCCTTTCTTGCAAGCTCCAACCCCAACAATGCCGTAATCAATATCAATGTAGCACTAAAAATAGCATAAGGTAGAACAAAAACACACACAATAAATATAAAGAAGAAATGAGAAGAACAGGAGAAAGTAAGTAAGCATTCTACATACAGTGGGGGGAAAAAAGTATTTAGTCAGCCACCAATTGTGCAAGTTCTCCCACTTAAAAAGATGAGAGAGGCCTGTAATTTTCATCATAGGTACACGTCAACTATGACAGACAAATTGAGAAGAAAAAAAATCCAGAAGATCACATTGTAGGATTTTTAATGATTTTATTTGCAAATTATGGTGGAAAATAAGTATTTGGTCACCTACAAACAAGCAAGATTTCTGGCTCTCACAGACCTGTAACTTCTTCTTTAAGAGGCTCCTCTGTCCTCCACTCGTTACCTGTATTAATGGCACCTGTTTGAACTTGTTATCAGTATAAAAGACACCTGTCCACAACCTCAAACAGTCACACTCTAAACTCCAGTATGGCCAAGACCAAAGAGCTGTCAAAGGACACCAGAAACAAAATTGTAGACCTGCACCAGGCTGGGAAGACTGAATCTGCAATAGGTAAGCAGCTTGGTTTGAAGAAATCAACTGTGGGAGCAATTATTAGGAAATGGAAGACATACAAGACCACTGATAATCTCCCTCGATCTGGGGCTCCACGCAAGATCTCACCCCGTGGGGTCAAAATGATCACAAGAACGGTGAGCAAAAATCCCAGAACCACGCAGGGGGACCTAGTGAATGACCTGCAGAGAGCTGGGACCAAAGTAACAAAGCCTACCATCAGTAACACACTACGCCGCCAGGGACTCAAATCCTGCAGTGCCAGACGTGTCCCCCTGCTTAAGCCAGTACATGTCCAGGCCCGTCTGAAGTTTGCTAGAGTGCGTTTGGATGATCCAGAAGAGGATTGGGAGAATGTCATATGGTCAGATGAAACCAAAATATAACTTTTTGGTAAAAACTCAACTCGTCGTGTTTGGAGGACAAAGAATGCTGAGTTGCATCCAAAGAACACCATACCTACTGTGAAGCATGGGGGTGGAAACATCATGCTTTGGTGCTGTTTTTCTGCAAAGGGAGCAGGACGACTGATCCGTGTAAAGGAAAGAATGAATGGGGCCATGTATCGTGAGATTTTGAGTGAAAACCTCCTTCCATCAGCAAGGGCATTGAAGATGAAACGTGGCTGGGTCTTTCAGCATGACAATGATCCCAAACACACCGCCCGGGCAACGAAGGAGTGGCTTCGTAAGAAGCATTTCAAGGTCCTGGAGTGGCCTAGCCAGTCTCCAGATCTCAACCCCATAGAAAATCTTTGGAGGGAGTTGAAAGTCCGTGTTGCCCAGCGACAGTCCAAAAACATCACTGCTCTAGAGGAGATCTGCATGGAGGAATGGGCCAAAATACCAGCAACAGTGTGTGAAAACCTTGTGAAGACTTACAGAAAACGTTTGACCTGTGTTATTGCCAACAAAGGGTATATAACAAAGTATTGAGAAACTTTTGTTATTGACCAAATACTTATTTTCCACCATAATTTGCAAATAAATTCATTAAAAATCCTACAATGTGATTTTCTGGATTTTTTTTCCTCATTTTGTCTGTCATAGTTGACGTGTACCTATGATGAAAATTACAGGCCTCTCTCATCTTTTTAAGTGGGAGAACTTGCACAATTGGTGGCTGACTAAATACTTTTTTCCCCCACTGTACAGTGGGGAGAACAAGTATTTGATACACTGCCGATTTTGCAGGTTTTCCTACTTACAAAGCATGTAGAGGTCTGTAATTTTTATCATAGGTACACTTCAACTGTGAGAGACGGAATCTAAAACAAAAATCCAGAAAATCACATTGTATGATTTGTAAGTAATTAATTTGCATTTTATTGCATGACATAAGTATTTGATACATCAGAAAAGCAGAACTTAATATTTGGTATAGAAACCTTTGTTTGCAATTACAGAGATCACACGTTTCCTGTAGGTCTTGACCAGGTTTGCACACACTGCAGCAGGGATTTTGGCCCACTCCTCCATACAGACCTTCTCCAGATCCTTCAGATTTCGGGGCTGTCACTGGGCAATACAGACTTTCAGCTCCCTCCAAAGATTTTCTATTGGGTTCAGGTCTGGAGACTGGCTAGGCCACTCCAGGACCTTGAGATGCTTCTTACAGAGCCACTCCTTAGTTGCCCTGGCTGTGTGTTTCGGGTCGTTGTCATGCTGGAAGACCCAACCACGACCCATCTTCAATGCTCTTACTGAGGGAAAGAGGTTGTTGGCCAAGATCTCGCGATACATGGCCCCATCCATCCTCCCCTCAAAACGGTGCAGTCGTCCTTTCCCCTTTGCAGAAAAGCATCCCCAAAGAATGATGTTTCCACCTCCATGCTTCATGGTTGGGATGGTGTTCTTGGGGTTGTACTCATCCTTCTTCTTCCTCCAGACACGGCGAGTGGAGTTTAGACCAAAAAGCTCAATTTTTGTCTCATCAGACTACATGACCTTCTCCCATTCCTCCTCTGGATCATCCAGATGGTCATTGGCAAACTTCAGATGGGCCTTGACATGCGCTGGCTTGAGCAGGGGGACCTTGCGTGCGCTGCAGGATTTTAATCCATGACGGCGTAGTGTGTTACTAATGGTTTTCTTTGAGACTGTGGTCCCAGCTCTCTTCAGGTCATTGACCAGGTCCTGCCGTGTAGTTCTGGCCTGATCCCTCACCTTCCTCATGATCATTGATGCCCCACGAGGTGAGATATTGCATGGAGTCCCAGACCGAGGGTGATTGACCGTCATCTTGAACTTCTTCCATTTTCTAATAATTGCGCCAACAGTTGTTGCCTTCTCACCAAGCTGCTTGCCTATTGTCCTGTAGCCCATCCCAGCCTTGTGCAGGTCTACAATTTTATCCCTGATGTCCTTACACAGCTCTCTGGTCTTGGCCATTGTGGAGAGGTTGGAGTCTGTTTGATTGAGTGTGTGGACAGGTGTCTTTTTATACAGGTAACGAGTTCAAACAGGTGCAGTTAATACAGGTAATGAGTGGAGAACAGGAGGGCTTCTTAAAGAAAAACTAACAGGTCTGTGAGAGCCGGAATTCTTACTGGTTGGTAGGTGATCAAATACTTATGTCATGCAATAAAATGCAAATTAATTACTTAAAAATCATACAATGTGATTTTCTGGATTTTTGTTTTAGATTCCGTCTCTCACAGTTGAAGTGTACCTATGATACAAATTACAGACCTTTACATGCTTTGTAAGTAGGAAAACCTGCAAAATCGGCAGTGTATCAAATACTTGTTCTCCCCATATACAGGGTCAGTTCCAGTACCATATTTACAATGTGCAGGGACACTGGAGTGATGGACGTAGAGATGTATAGGGGTAAGGTGACTAGGCATCAGGATATATGATAAACAGAGTAGCATCAGAGTAAATAATGATTGTACATTACCAGTCAAAAGATTGGACACACCTACTCATTCAAGGGATTTTCTTTATTTTTTAAAACTATTTTCTACATTGTAGAATAATAGTGAAGCCATCAAAACTATGAAATAACACATATGGAATCATGTATTAACCAAAAAAGTGTTAACCAAATCAAAATATATTTTATATTTGAGATTCTTCAAAGTAGCCACCCTTTGCCTTGATTAATGCTTTGCACACTCTTTGCATTCTCTCAACCACTTCATGGGAATGCTTTTCCAACAGTCTTGAAGCAGTTCCCACATATGCTGAGCACTTGTTGGCTGCTTTTCCTTCACTCTGCAGTCCAACTCATCCAAACCATCCCAATTGGGTTGAGGTCAGGTGATTGTGGAGGCCAGGTCATCTGATGCAGCACTCCATCACTCTCCTTGGTAAAATAGCCCTTACACAGACTGGAGGTGTGTTTTGGGTCATTGTCCTGTTGAAGAACAAATGATAATCCCACTAAGCCCAAACCAGATGGGATTGCGTATTGCTGCAGAATGCTGTGGTAGCCATGCTGGTTAAGTGTGCCTTGAATTCTAAATAAATCACAGACAAAGCACACACACACCATCACACCTCCTCCTCCATGCTTCACGGTGGGAACCACACATGCGGAGATCAACCGTTCACCTACTCTGCATCTCACAAAGACACAGCGGTTGGAACCAAAAATCTCACATTTGGACTCATCAGACCAAAGGACAGATTTCCACCGGTCTAATGTCCATTGCTCGTGTTTCTTGACCCAAGCAAGTCTCTTCTTCTTATTGGTGTCCTTTAGTAGTGGTTTCTTTGCTGCTATTCGACCATGAAGGCCTGATTCACACAGTCTCCTCTGAACAGTTGATGTTGAGATGTGTCTGTTACTTGAACTCTGTGAAGCATTTATTTGGTCTGCAATTTCTGAGGCTGGTAACTCTAACGAACTTATCCTCTGCAGCAGAGGTAACTCTGGGTCTTCTTTTCCTGTGGCGGTCCTCATGAGAGCCAGTTTCATCATAGCGCTTGATGGTTTTTGCGACTGCACTTTTAAAGAAACTTTAAAAGTTCTTGAAATGTTCCATATTGACTGACCTTCATGTCTTATAGTAATGATGGACTGCCGTTTATCTTTGCTTATTTGAGCTGTTCTTGCCATAATATGGACTTGGTATTTTACCAAATAGGGCTATGTTCTGTATACCACCCCTACCTTGTCACAACACAACTGATTGGCTCAAACGCATTAAGAAGGAAAGAAATTCCACAAATTAACTTTTAACAAGGCAAACCTGTTTATTGAAATGCATTCCAGGTCACTACCTCATGAACGAGAATGCCAAGAGTGTGCAAAGCTGTCATTAAGGCAAAGAATGGCTCAAATATAACATATATTTTTATTAGTTTAACACTTTTTTGGTTACTACATGATTCCATATGTGTTATTTCATAGTTTTTCTGTCTTCACTATTATTCTACACTGTAGAAAATAGTAAAAATAAAGAAAAACCCTTGAATGAGTAGGTGTGTCCAAACTTTTGACTGGTACTGTACGTGAGTGTGTGCGTGTTTCAGTATAAATGTGTGTGTTGGAGTGTCAGTGTGCAAGAGTGTGTAGAGTTCTGTTAGTGTGCAACGAGAATACAAGGGTCAGCTCAGATAGTGGGATATCTTACTTCTCGAATGTACTTGTAATGTAGAACGTATATCCCTGTGTGTGTTGATGCTGTCGGATCTGGATTGTAACTTGTGGGATTCCCAGTCGAATATGGTTCAGCAGCCATAGCAAGGTGTTGTCATCTATGGTGTCTACAAAACATAAATGGTCAGTTCTAGAGTCTGACTCCACAGCCCAATTTCCATTCATTTATATTGAACCTGTTACAATCATTCATTGCTTGACCATTTTTTACACTTTACATTCTAGACATTCATCAGACACTCTTGGAGCCACTTAATGAGTTTATTCAAATAAGGAGGTTGAAACAACGACATTCTCCAAAGCTTGACGGAAGTAGCAGCAGTAACAGTGGGAGGACGGATCCGTGGAAAGGTCAATCCAATCAAATAAGGTAAACGCCTGAGAGTTTATGGGGCAACGCACCACCGCATTTATTTCATCCCATCAAGAATCAGTGCAATAATTCATATCCAACCCAGTTTCATTTTGATCCATGTTGAAACTTGGTTTGACTTGATTCCTGAAATTGATCCATGTATAGCATGCATTCCCATAGCATGTGCAGAATCCTAGAGTACCTTACTCTGTAATAAACATACAGGTAATGGATGTGATTCAGTAGTCCCCGTGAACTGTTCCATGTCACGTCTCCGAGTGATTGGCTCATTGCCCACAATGGCCAATAAGATTCCCCCTCTACGTTTCCCATCATGATTGAGGGGAATGAACCATAGAAGGTGAATGTGGTGATTAAGTGTACCTGGGAATGTCATTAGGAGTTCACAGTCTTCGGTGGGAACCATTTTTAGCCAGGATTTATGGGACATGATGTACCGTCTGGCCTGCGAGAGGCGTTTCCCAAACAATGTATCTAAAGGGGGAGCGGTAGAGGGGAGGAGAGAGAGAGGGAGAGGGAGAGGGGAGAGGGGGAGGGGGAGGGGGGAGACAGATGGAGGTAAGAACAGTTCTCATCAGTGCGGTGTAATGGGGACAGGGGTGACAGAAGGAGCGAGGGAGGATTCTACCGAAGTGCCAAATCCTCACCGCCAGCTTTGTCACTTTTCTACTAATCAACAAGGCCAAAGCAGTTTGTTACTCCTTTCTCTCCTCTGACAATTTGAAACGGGCACAGATCATCCCAAATCATGAAAGAATCAGAAATGACAATTTTCTACATTGACATAAATAAAAAGGCATTAGCTTAAAAGAGGTTCCTCTTGTACAACACTGGGCCTGTGTAATTCTAGTAGTTTTTTGCACAACAGAACATAAGGCTAACCATTACTAAGCTGCAGTACTTGTAGGGTAGCTTTTGAACACCGCTCTTGAAAACCAACCACTACATGGGAGGTACAAACCACAGGCTCCAACTTAACCAGGTCAAACCACATGTGACACGATAACGATGAGAATCTCGAATGCTCTTTTCAGTGCATTTACCCACTGAAGTGGTAAAGCCACCTATTACTTGCATGGAAAGTAGTCCTCTAACCTTCCTCGCCCCTCTCCCCTTCTCTCTCTCCCATTCTCTCTCACACACAGACACCCACAAACACCACTAGGTTGTAGCGGGTGAGCAGTGTATAGTTTGTGCAGTGAAATGTATCTTGTCACTCTAACAGGGCACCACTGTATGGCTTTTGTTCTGAACAACATTAACTACTCTACTCTTTCTTGCACAGCCACATCTTCACTGCCAAGTTACAATGTTTAAACCTATGACAGCACCATACCTGGGACTTTTAGTGCTGGGACTGCTAAGGGACTAGTAGCTATACTCCACTGAAGAGAAATATAAACGCAACATGTAAAGTGTTGGTCCCATGTTTCATGAGCTGAAATAAAAGATCCCATACGCACAAAAAGCTTATTTCTCTCAAATTTTGTGCACACATTTGTTTACATCCCTGTTAGTGAGGATGTATCCTTTGCCAAGATAATCCATCCACCTGACAGGTGGGTCATATCAAGAAGCTGATTAAACAGCATTATCATTACACAGGTGCACCTTGTGCTGGGGACAATAAAAGGCCACTCTAAAATGTGCAGTTTTGTCACACAACACAATGCCACAGATTTTGAGGGAGTGTGCAATTGGCATGCTGACTGCAGGAATGACCACCAGAGCTGTTGCCAGAGAATTGAATGTTCATTTCTCTACCATAAGTCGCCTCAAACGTCATTTTAGAGAATTTGGCAGTACATCCAACCGGACTCACAACTGTAGACCATGTGTATGGCGTCGTGTGGGTGAGCGGTTTGCTGATGTCAACATTGTAAACAGAGTGCCCCATGGTGGCGGTGGGGTTATGGTATGGGCAGGCATAAGCGACAGACAATGAACACAAATGCATTTTATCGATAGCAATTTCAATGCACAAAAATACAGCGTCTAGATGCTGAGGCCCATTGTGAGGTCCATTTGTTTTTAAATGTATCTGTGACCAACAGACGCATATCTCTATTCCCAGTCATGTGAAATCCATAGATTAGGGCCTAATTAATTAATTTCAATGTACTGATTTCCTCATATGACCTGTAACTCAGTAAAATCTTTGAAATTGTTGCATGTTGCGTTTATATTTTTGTTCAGTATAGTAGCAGCACGTAAAATACATCTATCAGCAAATATAGAAAACGTTCCTTTGTGATTGTACCTACTAGGGCTGTCCACGACCAAAAACAATATTGGTCGACCAAGAGTCGTCTGTTCCAATCGATTGGTCGAAATTTTAAAAAGTGTATTTTTCTGTATATAGACCCATCCTATGTGTTTTAATCAAATCAACTATATGCACTGAGCTTGTCTGATGCTTTAAGCTTTAAGCACACTGTTTGATTCAATAATTAAGACACAAATGACTAGGGAGTCTGAGCGAGTGTGCACCCGATGTCTCTCTATCCTCTATGCTGCAGAAACCACTACAGAACTTCAACAGTGTTTATCGCGCTGTCCATGTTGCTGGAGCTGCAACATAATTAAAGCAATTTCTGACTGAAAAGTTATGTTACTGAAATCCCTCATTTGTTTAGGAAAAACATTCCCTATTCCCTCAACCCTTACTCTCTTTACGTGACACATGTATGCATCGTATGGACGTGACCAATAGGGCCTGACCTATAGCATATAATAATCACATCAATAAATTGGTTATAACAAACTCCGAACATATGTGACAGCTAAATGGATGCAGAGGAGGTGACAAATAAACTGGACGGACGCGATGGGGTGAGGTTATGTTTCTATAAGTGGGAGGTAAGCTTGGCTTCTTCTTTATATGGTGTCGAGTAAAGTAAAGTAAAGTAAAGCTTAAACCATGCATTTAGATTGTAGATAGGTATTGTAGTTAGGAATTGTAGTTTGGAATCGTAGGTAGTTATTGTATTGTATTCGGCTGATCCCGGTGAAGCACGAGGCTACCTAACACACTACCTGGACCAATATAGCTAGCTAGCTAGCGGGAAGCTACTGGTAACTATTGGCAACTGTGGATAGTTGTTTCCAATGTTATTTCATGCTTAAGACTACCTGTAATTATGCTAGCTAGCTACCTACCATTCAGCTGTTTTTCTAACCTCATTATCTGAAACGTTAACGCTAGGTAGTTAGCAGCTACTGTACTCAAATGTAGCGAGCTTGTTGCTACCTGGATAGCTAACTCAACAACAGCTGGAACAACCTAGCTGTAATATTTGGAGACGCTTTCTCTCGGTTGGGACAGACGCAAACTGGCTAAATCAATTCAGTAGCTAGCTCTACACTTAACTAGCTATCAGTAGCTACTAAGGGTAAGTTATAACCTATATTTATTTTTCATCTGTACATACTGGTAACCAGAGTCTTTCAAAAGGAATTCAAGACATGGGTGACTTAACGTTAGCTTGGCTCTCTGTGTTTAATACCGTGGGGGGAGGGGTTGGTTCACTGACTGAGAGCAATGGCTAGCTAATATGCTAACTATTCTAGCTAGCTAACTAACTGGCTGAATAAGTTGACAACGTACTCACTCAAACTGTCAAAACTAACCCAAAACCTTACACAACGTTATACACGGACACGAATGATCTGTTTAGCATGTTAACACACTATTGGTAGCCTGTTGTAACCGAGTATTGAGAATTTTGCAACGTAAGCTTCACTTTCTGAACATTCGAGATGTCAACTTGTGTAGCTAGCATGACTGACTTTGTGCTAGCTAGCCAACGTTTAATTACTTCTGCGTTATGAAAGGAAATAGACACGGACACGAATACGAATGATCCGTTGGTAGTTTGTTGTAACCAAGTATTGGTGCTAAACCGTGTGTTATTGGATGATAGTTAGCTATGGCGTCATAGGATACGGTGCCCTGCGTGGTTTTCACAGAAGAATACTGTACCAAGTTAGCTAGCAGAATAAACTAAGTTAGAGTCTATTCCTGGAAACATTGAACCACTGTAGATTACAACAATTATAATTTCTAAAGTGGAAGTTGGAAGAGTTGTATTTGAGTGTTTCAGTGAGTGAAAGGTTAGTGGGGGAGGCCTCCCTTCCCCAGATGTTTAGTTAATTTCATTCCGATCTCCTTTGCATTAGTGTAGCCTTTTCTGTAGCCTGTCAACTATGTGTCTGTCTATCCCTGTTCTCTCCTCTCCGCACAGGCTATACAAACGCATTACACCGCATGGCTGCTGCCACTCTAACCTGGTGGTCCCTGCACGCACGACCCACATGGAGTTCCAGGTCTCCGGCAGCCTCTGGAACTGCCGTTCTGCGGCCAACAAGGCAGAGTTCATCTCAGCCTATGCTACCCTCCAGTCCCTCGACTTCTTGGCGCTGACGGAAACATGGATTACCACAGAAAACACTGCTACTCCTACTGCTCTCTCCTCATCTGACCATGTGTTCTCGCATACCCCGAGAGCATCTGGTCAGCGGAGTGGTGGCACAGGAATCCTCATCTCTCCCAAGTGGACATTCTCTCTTTCTCCCCTGACCCATCTGTCTATCTCCTCATTTGAATTCCATGCTGTCACAGTCACTACCCCATTCAAGCTTAACATCCTTATCATTTATCGCCCTCCAGGTTCCCTTGGAGAGTTCATCAATGAGCTTGACGCCTTGATAAGTTCCTTTCCTGAGGATGGCTCACCCCTCACAGTTCTGGGTGACTTTAACCTCCCTACGTCTACCTTTGACTCATTTCTCTCTGCCTCCTTCTTTCCACTTCTCTCCTCTTTTGACCTCACCCTCTCACCGTCCCCCCCTACTTACAAGGCAGGCAATACACTTGACCTCATCTTTACTAGATGCTGTTCTTCTACTAATCTCACTGCAACTCCCCTCCAAGTCTCCGACCACTACTTTGTATCCTTTTCTCTCTCGCTCTCCTCCAACACTACTTACTCTGCCCCTACTCAGATGGTAATGTGCCGTCGCAACCTTCGCTCTCTCTCTCCTGCTACTCTCTCCTCTTCCATCCTATCATCTCTTCCCTCTTCCCTCTGCTCAATCCCTCTCCCTCCAATCTCCTGATTCTGCCTCCTCAAACCTCCTCTCCTCCCTTTCTGAATCCTTTGACTCTCTATGTCCCCTATCCTCCCGGCCTGCTCGGTCCTCCCCTCCTGCTCCGTGGCTTGACGACTCATTGCGAGCTCACAGAACTGGGCTCCGGGCAGCCGAGCGGAAATGGAGGAAAACTAGACTCCCTGCGGACCTGGCATCTTTTCACTCCCTCCTCTCTACATTTTCTTCCTCTGTTTCTGCTGCTAAAGCCACTTTCTACCACTCTAAATTCCAAGCATCTGCCTCTAACCCTAGGAAGCTCTTTGCCACCTTCTCCTCCTTGCTGAATCCCCCCCCCCCCTCCCTCTCTGTGGATGACTTCGTCAACCAAATTAGAAAAGAAGGTTGACGACATCCGATCCTCTTTTGTTAAGTCAAATGACACCGCTGGTCCTGCTCACACTGCCCTACCCTATGCTTTGACTTCTTTCTCCCCTCTCTCTCCAGATGAAATCTTGCGACTTGTGACGGCCGGCCGCCCAATAACCTGCCCGCTTGACCCTATCCCCTCCTCTCTTCTCCAGACCATTTCCGGAGACCTTCTCCCTTACCAAACCTCGCTCATCAACTCATCCTTGACCGCTGGCTATGTCCCTTCCGTCTTCAAGAGAGCGAGAGTTGCACCCCTTCTCAAAAAACTACAGACCAGTATCCCTTCTTTCTTTTCTCTCCAAAACTCTTGAGCGTGCTGTCTTTAGCCAACTCTCTTGCTATCTCCCTCAGAATGACCTTCTTGATCCAAACCAGTCAGGTTTCAAGACTGGTCATTCAACTGAGACTGCTCTTCTCTGTGTCACGGAGGCTCTCCGCACTGCTAAAGCTACCTCTCTCTCCTCTGCTCTCGTCCTTCTAGACCTATCTGCTACCTTTGATACTGTGAACCATCAGATCCTCCTCTCCACCCTCCCCGAGTTGGGCATCTCCGGCGCGGATCACTCTTGGATTGCGTCCTACCTGACAGGTCGCTCCTACCAGGTGGCGTGGCGAGAATCTGTCTCCGCACCACGTGCTCTCACCACTGGTGTCCCCCAGGGCTCAGTTCTAGGCACTCTCCTATTCACGCTATACACCAAGTCACTTGGCTCTGTCATATTGTCATATCCTCACATGGCCTCTCCTATCATTGCTACGCAGACGACACACAATTCATCTTCTCCTTTCCCCCTTTTGATAACCAGGTGGCGAATCGCATCTCTGCATGTCTGGCAGACATATCAGTGTGGATGACGGATCACCACCTCAAGCTGAACCTCGGCAAGACGGAGCTGCTCTTCCTCCCGGGGAAGGACTGCCCGTTCCATGATCTCGCCATCACGGTTGACAACTCCGTTGTGTCCTCCTCCCAGAGTGCAAAGAGCCTTGGCGTGACCCTGGACAACACCCTGTCGTTCTCCGCTAACATCAAGGCGGTGACCCGATCCTGTAGGTTCATGCTCTACAACATTCGCAGAGTACGACCCTGCCTTACACAGGAAGCGGCACAGGTCCTAATCCAGGCACTTGTCATCTCCCGTCTGGATTACTGCAACTCGCTGTTGGCTGGGCTCCCTGCCTGTGCCATTAAACCCCTACAACTCATCCAGAACGCCGCAGCCCGTCTTGTGTTCAACCTTCCCAAGTTCTCTCACGTCACCCCGCTCCTCCGCCCACTCCACTGGCTTCCAGTTGAAGCTCGCATCTGCTACAAGACCATGGTGCTTGCCTACGGAGCTGTGAGGGGAACGGCACCTCCGTACCTTCAGGCTCTGATCAGTCCCTACACCCAAACGAGGGCATTGCGTTCATCCACCTCTGGCCTGCTGGCCCCCTACCTCTGCGGAAGCACAGTTCCTGCTCAGCCCAGTCAAAACTGTTCGCTGCTCTGGCACCCCAATGGTGGAACAAGCTCCCTCACGACGCCAGGACAGCGGAGTCACTCACCACCTTCCGGAGACACTTGAAACCCCACCTCTTTAAGGAATACCTGGGATAAGATAAAGTAATCCTTCTATCCCCCCTTACCCCACCCCAAAGAAAAAAAAAATTAAAAAAAGAAAAAAACATTTTGTAAAGTGGTTGTCCCACTGGCTATCATAAGGTGAATGCACCAATTTGTAAGTCGCTCTGGATAAGAGCGTCTGCTAAATGACGAAAATGTAATGAAAATGTAAAATGTAAATAAACTCGAAACGGGGGAATGTTTACTGGTTGCTGAGGAGGTAAAGGGGAAGTCGGATGTGTGGAATAAATTTGACTAGTTGTGGAAAATACTGGCGATCAAGAAAAAGAAGGTAAGGAGCAAGCGCTGTGTGCATATTATGTGTGCCAAACAGGTGCTGTTAGATTACAATTTAATTTTTCTGACCGTTTGGAACAATGTAAACAACACTAAATAAATGATAAGTGTACCAGAGAGTCTGTTGTAATGTTTTTATTTTAATTTTTTTGTAAAGCCTTTATTACAGCAAAGACTAAAAACAGTTGCATTCATATGTGAATGCAATTTCCGAAATGGAACGGTTTATTTACTTTTTATGCTAATTATTCAAGGGTCTCTTTATTTTATTTTAAAACAAATGTCAGGGTTGAGTGTAGATGTGGTGTGGAATCATGCACAGGACACACAGAGGCTTCGTACTGACGTCTTTAGTGAAGACAAAAGAACAAGCCAAACACGGCAACAGGCAACCAGGCAGGCAAGCGAACTTTATGCAACTCGGTAAAGTGCAAAAACAAAAGCGCACAAAGTGCGGAACTCTCTCTAAACAAAATAAAGAGAGAACATAAACGAACTAACACACAACGTGACAACGAACAATTACACACAACACAAGACAAAGCTCAAGAGAACTATATAGGACGCATAATGAACACTAACAAGGAACAGGTGTAACAAAACAGACAAAACCAATCAAACATCGAAACATAGAACGGTGGCAGCTAGTACTCCGGAGACGACGACCGCCGAAGCCTGCCCGAACAAGGAGAAGGAGCAGCCTCGGCCGAAACCGTGACAACAAAAATGCTTGATTGTATTTCAAATCATGAATGACTCATATGCTGTGTGATGACATGAACTAATTAATGATTGATTGATACAGTAGCATATATAAGTATTGAAATATAGGCCTAAGTAAGTTAGGGTATTAAGACTAAACAGGATGCACTCTTTGGCCTACAGCTCGATGGTGGTTATAAAAGGCTGCTATACTAAGCCTACTAATGATAACGACATTACTTATTACTATAATTATTATCATAATAATAATAATAATAATAATAGTAATAACAATAAGAAGGAGATAAAGAAAAAGGAGTGTTATAATTATAAATATTATTTTTCTGACAATTTGGAAGAGTGTAAACAACACTAAATACTTTGCTGGTGACACTGTCTGTGATTTATTTAGAATTCAAGGCACACTTAACCAGCATGGCTACCACAGCATTCTACAGCGATACGCCATCCCATCTGGTTTGGGCTTAGTGGGACTATCATTTGTTTTTCAACAGGACAATGACCCAACACACCTCCAGGCTGTGTAAGGGCTATTTTAGATGACCTGGCCTCCACAATCCCCCAACCTCAACCAAATTGAGATGGTTTGGGATGAGTTGGACTGCAGAGTGAAGGAAAAGCAGCCAACAAGTGCTCAGCATATGTGGGAACTCCTTCAGGACTGTTGGAAAAGCATTCCAGGTGAAGCTGGTTGAGAGAATGCCAAGAGTGTGCAAAGCTGTCATCAAGGCAAAGGGAGGCTATTTGAAGAATCTCAAATATAAAATATATTTTGATTTCTTTAACACTTTATTGGTTACTACATGATTCCATATGTGTTATTAATTTGAGCAAACAGGAATTCGAATAGTTTGCCTACAAGCAAGTATAGTGTAGAGCAGTGTTTCCCAAACTCGGTCCTGGATATTGCAGCGTTAAGTATAGGCCTACAAAAATGTGGACTTGGAAGAAATGTGTGTGGTTGCTTAATGTTATGCACAATGCAGTTTGTAAGTTGTAATAAAATAATCACTGTAGGCTACTAAAATCCAACATTAAATATTTTGTTTTTAATCTTACAGTTCTGTTTAAAGTAACTGTCCAGTGTTTACAGATTTCTATGAGTGAAATAGTTTTCCATTCCAATTTTTTTTTTAATTAAGTATCTTAAAAAGCAGTTTTTCTGTGTTAGAATGGTGTGGGCGTATCCCGGTCATTCAAAATATTCATGCAAGTAGAGCGCTGATTGGCCAGCTTATCCTCCTTAGGAGGATGACCTCATCCTCTGTGAGGAAATAGCAAGCATTTTGTTTGAGATACAAGTTTGAGTTTGGGCTTTTGAAGTGTTTTTTTTTTTCTTCTCACATTTATGCTTTGGCCACAAATAGGAGTATAGGATGAGTCTACAACATTATTTGGGTATGGGTTAACAGAATATTAACTTTTAAAAGTGAGATTTTTACTGGACAGTTACTTTACTTATTTGACAGCTAGACCACTGAAATAAATCATGTACATCCAATATTTATCAAAATACAAAGTCTACATTAAAACAATATAATGAATGAAAATGCAGTTGCATTGCCTTGGACTAGGCTACACCTGTGGGACCACAAAAGCCAGCCCAGCAGCCATTCGGCCATTCTCTTTCTCATCGGAATGCGCACAATGTTATAGGACGCGAAAACAAAAAAACTACACAAATGTGGCATGAAAGGTGAAGGCTAAACTATGGGATTAACCTCGAAGGCTGGGGTCAATGGCATTTTGCGTGAATGTGTGAGAATACTGCATCATAGCCTACCACCACAAATAGCATACTTTATAATTATCCTCTCTGTAACCATCTATCTCGACTTTACGCACCCTGTCACGACGACAAATGCTGTGTTCCTCAAGACACTTACCCAGTACACCTGACGACATTGAAGATGTTTGTTCTTGCTTAGTTATCTTGTGCTCTTCGGTGGGCACTGGTTTCTCCGTCCTCTCCCCTGCACTGTCGCCGTCTGCGGTGCTGTTGTGTTTACAGACCCGGCGATATTATGTGCCGCACGCTCTCGTCATGAGTATGGTGCATGAATTCACAGTCAAGTGCAGGTCCTGTGCTGGAAAGACAGCACTGCAACTATGGAAGATGATATATAGGAATGAAGACGACTGATGGTAGAGCTACAGCAAAGGTGGATCTCTATTGCTTTGCTATATCTGTCGTCAATGATGCAGTGGTAACAAACATCAATATCTGCTACCGTCCATCGGAGTGGGGTAAAACATTATGTGAGGTTGTGCCATAAAAGGGCTATAAAAGGGCATCTTCTATTGCAACTCCATCCATCATGTAGGCTATTCAGACAAAATATTCCTGAATGTAGGCTACAACACAGATAGAACTCCACAGTGCTTCCAGGAATATGTGTGCATTCGGAAAGTATTCAGACCCCTTGACTTTTTTCACATTTTGTTATGTTACAGCCTTATTCTAAACTGGATTAAATAGTTTTTCCCCTCATCAATCTACACACAATACCCCATAATGACAAAGCAAAAAGAGGTTTTTAGAAATTTTTGCAAATGAATAAAGAAAACCCCCGGAAATATCACATTTACATAAGTATTCAGACCCTTTACTCAGTACTTTGTTGAAGCACCTTTGACAACGATTACAGCCTCTAGTCTTCTTGGGTATGACGCTACAAGCTTGGCACACCTTTATTTGGGGAGTTTATCCCATTCTTCTCTGCAGATCCTCTCAAGCGCTGTCAGGTTGAATGGGGAGTGTCGCTGCACAGCTATTTTCAGATCTCTCCAGAGATGTTCGATCGGGTTCAAGTACGGGCTCTGGCTGGGCCTCTTAAGGACATTCAGAGACTTGTCCCGAAGCCACTCATGTGTTGTCTTGGCTGTGTGCTTAGGGTCATTGTCCTGTTGGAAGGTCAACCTTCGCCCCAGTCTGAGGTCCTGAGCGCTCCGAAGCATGTTTTTATCACTGATCTCTCTGTACTTTAGTCCGTTCATCTTTCCCTCTATCCTGACTAATCTCCCAGTCCCTGCCGCTGAAAAATATACCCACAGCATGATGCTGCCACCACTATGCTTCACCGTAGGGATGGTGCCAGGTTTCCTCCAGACGTGACGCTTGGCATTCAGGCCAAAGTATTCAATCTTGGTTTCATCAGACCAGATAATCTTGTTTCTCATGGTCTGGGAGTCTTTAGGTGCCTTTTGGCAAACTCCAAGCGGGCTGTCATGTGCCTTTTACTGAGGGAGTGGCTTCCGTCTGGCCACTCTACCATAAAGGCCTGATTGGTGGAGTGCTGCAGAGATGGTTGTCCTTCTGGAAGATTCTCCCATCTCCACAGAGGAACTCTGGAGCCATCTCAAAATGACCATTGGGTTCTTGGTCACCTCCCTGACCAAGGCCCTTCTCCCCCGATTGCTCAGTTTGACCGGTGAGGCCAGCTCTAGGAAGAGTTTTGGTGGTTCCAAACTTCTTCCATTTAAGAATGATGGAGGCCACTGTGTTCTTGGGGACCTTCAATGCTGCAGACATTTTTTGCCACCCTTTCCCAGATCTGTGCCTCGACACAATCCTGTCTCGGAGCTCTACGGACAATTCCTTCAACCTCATGGCTTGGTTTTTGCTCTGACATGCACTGTCAACTGTGGGACCTTATATAGACAGTTGTGTGCCTTTCCAAATAATGTCCAATCAATTGAATTTACCACAGGTGGACTCCAATCAAGTTGTAGAAACATCTCAAGGATGATCAATGGAAACAGGATGCACCTGAGCTCAATTTCGAGTCTCATAGCAAAGGGTCTGAATACTTATGTAAATAAGGTATTTCTGTTGTTTTATTTTTAATACATTTGCAAAAATGTCTAAAAACCTGTTGTCGCTGTGTCATTATGGGGTATTGTGTGTATATTGATGAGTGAAAACAAATATTTCTTTAATTTTAGAACAAGGCTGTAATGTAACAAAATGTGGAAAAAGTAAAGGGGTCTGAATACTTTCCGAATGCACTGTAGACATCACCCTTCATGTATGAGATGAAGTCATGTTCTCTCTATGCCTATCATGTGACACTTCAATGGCTCCCTTAGAGAAAAAAAACATACATTTAATGTGATCACGTGATTTAATGTGAAGCAACATGTGACATCATGTGAAGCAACATAAAACTACATGTTACATGAGAACATGATCTCATGTGAAATTAATGTGAAATAAATGTGACAACATGGGGATGCATAATGTCAACATGAGAGAACATGAAACTACATGTGACAACATGTGAGCACATGTGAAAACATGATCTTGTGAAAAGAATTTACAACATGGGGATGCAACATGTTATACCATCCCTTAAGTAAAGGCCTCTCTTTTGTCCCCACATATGAAACTGACTCTTTTAGATAAAGACTGATCTTTTTTTTTTTTTTTTGACAATCTAAGTTAGGCATATGTTTGGCAAGTCTAATGACTCCAATGATACACAAAACCCCAATATGCCTGTGTTCAAACCCAATAGTATATTTATGCCTCAAGTATCGAATCCTTCCATTCACACCTGTAGAATTGTGGAACAGGATGTTTGAAACTTTTGTCCGTCCAAACCAATTTATTCTCCAAAGAATGTGAGCCGAGATGAAAGACTAGCCATTCAGGAACTTGCTAAAGATACTCAGATTTTCATTAAACCTGCTGATAAGGGAGGAGCTATAGTCTATCAGACTATAAGGCAGAGAGACCTATCGCCAGCTTGATGATGAACATTTCTATAGGAAACTCAGAACTGACCCTACTTCTGACTTCTAGACAAAGGTAACCAACTATCTGACATTTGCTCTTGATCAGAACTGGATCTCTAAGCATGAATTTGACTACCTTCATTGCAAATTCCCTGTCATACCTGTTTTCTATACGCTACCTAAGATCCATAAGAGCCTATACAAATCTAAGGGCAGACCCATCGTTGCCAGTATTAACTCTCATTAAGCCTATTGTGCAAAAACTCAGAGCATTCGTCAAAGATTCTACAGATGTGATAAACAAAATATCAGAACTGTCTAATCTCCCGGACAAAATCATATTGGGTACATCTAGAGAGCCTCTACACTAATATCTCTCATGAAAAAGGCCTAGATGCACTGGGATATTACCTAAAGGAACGTGACGGAGAAATGTCACCGCCTAGTGAATTTATCTGTGAACTGGCTTCTCTAGTTCTCAAGCTCAACTACTTTGCCTTTGAAAAACACTTTTACCTTCAAGTTAGTGGAGTTGCTATGGGCTCCACCTTTGCCCCTAGTTATGCTAATTTATATGTGGGCTATTTTGAGCAAAAGTTTATCTGTGATGAGACCAGGAACCCTTACTTCTCCATGATCCTCAAATGGTTCTCTATTGAATATGACCACAAGCGGGTCCATTTCTTGGACATGTGGATAGAGGTTGCTAATGGGGAACTTATCACCACTCTATATCAGAAAGAGACTGACAGAAACACTTTTCTCCTAGCAAGTAGCGCTCATCTTAGTGCCCTTAAAAGAGGGTTACCCAAGAGCCAGTTCTATAGGCTCAGACGTATGTGTCATTCGACTAAGGACTTTATTGATAAAGCTGTCAACATGAAACTGGACAGGGGTTACTCCACCTAGTGTGTGGAAAAGGTATACCGCTCTCTAAAAACCTCGCCAGGATGTACTCCAATTTTATTTTATTTTTCACTTCTAAGGAGTTTATTACTTGCATTACTACATTCACCCCCAAAGCCTTTATGATTAAAACATAGTGATGAAGCACTGGCATATGCTCACCTCAGACCCGGAGCTCAGCCAGGAATTCAAGGACCCCCCCCCCCCCCCCCCCCCTTAATCGTCTACAAACGGGGCCCCAATCTTCGCAGTAGACTAGTCTGAGCCAGCCTCAACACGGGTTCTAAACAAACCGTCCTTACTCCACTGAGAGATGGAAACTACCCCTGTGGCAATTGTGCTCAGTGCAACAAAACCAAAAAACACCCTAGGTCTGGATACAGTGTTAAAGGCATGATCACATGCAACACAATTTTTTTTTATTTACATCCTGTTTGTGACAATATGTACGTGGGCAAGACATCCAGAAGCTTGAAACAGAGAATGAGCGAATATAAGGCGCAAGGATGAAAATTACCCTGTTGCTTGTCACTTTGTCCAGTGCTCCCACAGTGTGTCTGTTGCTTGTCACTTTGTCCAGTGCTCCCACAGTGTGTCTGTTGCTTGTCACTTTGTCCAGTGCTCCCACAGTGTGTCTGTTGCTTGTCACTTTGTCCAGTGCTCCCACAATGTCTGTTGCCTGTCACTTTGTCCTTGTCACTTTGTCCAGTGCTCCCACAGTGTGTCTGTTGCTTGTCACTTTGTCCAGTGCTCCCACAGTGTGTCTGTTGCTTGTCACTTTGTCCAGTGCTCCCACAGTGTCTGTTGCCTGTCACTTTGTCCAGTGCTCCCACAGTGTGTATGTTGCTTGTCACTTTGTCCAGTGCTCCCACAGTGTGTCTGTTGCTTGTCCCTTTGTCTAGTGCTCCCACAGTGTGTCTGTTGCTTGTCACTTTGTCCAGTGCTCCCACAGTGTGTCTGTTGCTTGTCACTTTATCCAGTGCTCCCACAGTGTATCTGTTGCTTGTCACTTTGTCCAGTGCTCTCACAGTGTGTCTGTTGCTTGTCACTTTGTCCAGTGCTCTCACAGTGTGTCTGTTGCTTGTCACTTTGACCAGTGCTCCCACAGTGTGTCTGTTGCTTGTCCCTTTGTCCAGTGCTCCCACAGTGTGTCTGTTGCTTGTCACTTTGTCCAGTGCTCCCACAGTGTGCCTGTTGCTTGTCACTTTGTCCAGCGCTCCCACAGTGTGTCTGTTGCTTGTCACTTTGTCCAGCACTCCCACAGTGTGTCTGTTGCTTGTCACTTTGTCCAGTGCTCCCACAGTGTGTCTGTTGCTTGTCACTTTGTCCAGTGCTCCCACAGTGTGTCTTCTCTACAATTCCAGGGCACTGAGAAGGTGGAAGTGTCACCAAGAGGAGGAGACAATGACCGCAAACTCTGCCAGAAAGAACTTTTCTGGATTCATACTTTAAGCACCCTACAGCCGTTAGGATAAAATGAGGATTTAATATGAGGGTCATGTTGTAATTCCTATTGTCAGCATCTTAGTTTCACACACCCTCCCTGGTATGGGTGTCCTGTATTCATGATGGCCCTAGTGCCCGACAGGTTACCTTTACCTTTATCTAGTTGTTTTCTAGATTTCTCCTGGTTCTACATATGGATATAGTGTTGTATATGTTTTCCTTTTACTTTATTTTCTTTTGACATTTTTCGCCTTTATTGCTCTCTCTTTGAGAGTATTGGTTCCTTATACTAACACCACATTCCCTGTGTTCATGTGTTTTGTTCTAGCAGAAATACATCTATAACATGTTTTGTCCTATCCTGTATTTCTATCTCATATTATGACATCTAGTGGCCCTTTTGGGTACTTTAGATGACTACAGGTGTCCGCAATTACCTCTGGCTCACTGTGTGGACTTATCGGTCCACACCATTGTTTGTGGTGATATGCTCTGATGAAGGTCGACTGACTGAAAGCTCAGCTATAATTAAAATACATTTGCATCTGACTGGAAGTGTGCAGAGACTTTTTCCTGTTTCTCCAGTTTTGCCTTTTGCCTCCAGCACCTTCACAAATCAGCTTTGGGTGTGCGGTAGATTCTGCCTATTATCAACATGTGATACCATGAAATTACATGTGACAACATTTGAGCACGTGAAAGCCGAGGTGTCAAATGTGATTTAAAATACTTTACTTTAAAAGGTGTAATTTACATTAATTACATTTAAACAGTCATGGTCCCCTGCAGGTTTTGTCTAGTTCCCGCTCTGTTCCAAGGACGTTCTCAGAACTGTTCCAAGGACGTTCTCAGAACGTTGTGTCAGAACGGAGGTTTCTGTCTAGTTCCGGTGAAAAAACAGTAAATCTATAGCTAGTTACTGTGTTTTTACAGCTAACTTAAGGTGTTAATGTAAATGATAGTATGTTGCTTACTTGGGACTTGAACTCACAACCTCTTGGGTACTAGCTAAATGAAATTCCTGCTAAGCCACCAGGCCTATGGACTTAATAGAGATTGGCTATATATTTATTGCCAAGAATACATTTCTACACTTTGCCTAAAGTTGCAGTAAAAATAAAGTCAATATACTGAACAAAAATATAAACGCAACATGCAACAATTTCAACAATTTTACTGAGTTACAGTTCATATAAGGAAATCAGTCAATTGAAATAAATTCATTAGGCCCTAATCTATGGAGTTCACATGACTGGGCAGGGGCGCAGGGCCCAGCCAATCAGAATGAGTTTTTCCTCCACAAAAGGGCTTTATTACAGACAGAAATACTCCACAGTTTCATCAGCTGTCTGGTTGGCTGGTCCCAGATGTGGAGGTACTGGGCTGGTGTGGTTACACGTGGTCTGTGGTTGTGAGGCCGGTTGGACGTATTGCCAAATTCTCTAAAACGGCATTGGAGTCAGCTTATGGTAGAGAAATGAACATTCAATTCTCTGGAAACAGCTCTGGTGGACAGTCCTGCAGTCAACATGCCAATTGCACGCTCCCTCAAAACTTGAGACATCTGTGGCATTGTGTTGTGTGACACCCGTGGAACGATCATTCTGTTTAATCTGCTTGTTGATATGCCACACCTGTCAGGTGTAACAACCTCTTAACAGCGCAGCGCTTGATTTTCACATGTTCTTACAAATATTGCAGCACTGACCGTGTCAAAAGAGGTGCTCAACCTTCATTACATTTTTTGTCATTTAGCAGAAGCTCTTATCCAGAGCGACTTACAGTTTAGTGAGTGCACACATTATTTTATTTCATACTGGCCCCCGTGGGAATAGAACCCACAACCCTGGCGTTGCAAACACCATGCTCTACCAACTGAGCTACATCCCTGCCGGCCATTCCCTCCCTTACCCTTCCCTGGATGACGCTGGGCCAATTGTGCACCGCCCCATGCCCCCTAATATGCTAATGAGCCCCTGCCAGCACATTGCCCCCACCTACATTTCAATGTGCAGTGATGATTGTACCTGATCCTGCGTTCGTAACCAAATCCAATTGAACGGCCTGCCAACTGGTAGTTACTACTGGGAAATGCTTCTATCATGCCGCATTCAAAATAACTCGGAACTCGGAAATCTCTGACTTCAGTGCGTTCAAGACAACTGGGAACTCAGGAAAAAACTAACTCCAACTGGGAAAATGTGTTTTGAACAGTCATCCAACTCGGAATTCCTAGGGGGGAACTCAGGCATCTTTCTAGAGCTCCAACTTTCTGACCTGAAGATCACTGACGTTAAGATTTGACCTAGTTTTTTTCAGAGTTCCCAGTTGTCTTGAAAGCACCATCATCCCTGAGCTCCTACTTCTCCCACAAACTGACCTCTGAACTCGATAACAGCATTTTCGGAAGTTAAATGTAACAACAAAACATTATTTATAAAATGCAATCTATTAAAATGGTTTTTGAACTCTATAATTTGTTGACAAGCATAATAGTTTATATAAACTTTTAGTTTATGGTTGACACAGCTTGTTGACCATTAGCCAATTGGTGTTTCTTAATGAGTTTAAAGCACATGAATGCTGCCAACTGGTATTTACGACTTCACAACTGGTAAATTCCCACCTCCCACATGGTTACGAATGCAGCATTATATTGAAGATATTGGGTAGAAAAATGTACCATTATACTAGATTATCTGCACATGTACCCTAAAAGGTACCGACCAGTACCATGCAAGTTCCTATGTGTACCTGTGAAGGTACCTTATATGTACCCTTTGACCTTTTTGTACACCAGGTTCCAATCCTATCAGCAACGAATCCCGGTTTCTGTTTCGTCATGCTGATGGCAGAGTCAGGATTTGGCGTAAGCAGAATGAGTCCATGGACCCATCCTGCCTGATGTCAACGGTACAGCCTGGTGGCGGTCATGTACTGCCATCCAATCTGCAGCAACTGCGTGATGCCATCGTGTTAGCATGAACCAACATCCTTGTGGAACATTTCTGACTTGTAA